CAGTGTTACGTATTATATGCAATAAAAAGTGGTCCATAACAGAAGAGGTATTTTCATATACTCTTACAAAGGTATATATGAGTGAGCTGCACTGCTTGAAAGTAAATGTCGTGTATCAAGGTTCTTTGGGCAATTATTAATAAATAGAGACAATTGCCCTCGTTTTCCTTGAAATACTATGGCAATTTCAACAACTGAAGAAACAATAAAATGAATCTCCTCTCTGCAACAGAAATTGCATGTAAGCAATAAAATCTTAACATATTGCTTAAAAATCAACAATCAAAAAGAGAAATTCTTTAAAATCTGTTCATTTGTTTCCTTTTTCATATCTTCTATGCCTCCCCCCTTCCCCTCAACAACTCTTGTCGTCAGCATAATAAAAACAGACATGATGTACCAAGGTTCTTTGGGCAACTGCTAAAAAATAAACAACTGCCCTCGTTTCCCCTGAAATAGTATGGCAGTTTCAACAAAAGAAGAAACAAGAAGTGAATCTCCTCACAACAACAGAAACTGCACACAGTCATGGAATCTTAAAAGATTACCTAAGTTCAACATAAAATTATCCGTTCATTCATTTTCGCTCCATTTCTTTCTAGGCAACCCCCCCCCCCATTAGAAACACAGCAGGCAGGTAATGAAATCCGAACAGATTCAACAAAAATGATTTTTTAACTAATTTTCTTTACTTTATTTTCTGGGGAACTAACAAAACTATCCTCATTACTTATACTATAATAAATATACACGGAAATGTTCCAAGGTTATTTTAGGCGATTGCTAAAACTAGAAGCAACTGCCCTCGAGTTCCTTGAAATACTGTGGCAAATTCAGCAATCGATAAAAAGACACATAAAATGAATCCTTCTCACTCAACGTGAAATTGCCCAGTCACAGAATGAGCAAAAAAGTACACACCTTTAACAAAACTATATATCAAATGATTATCTTTCTACCCATGTGATTAGGATGTAGAAAAACTGCAATTCTGTTACCTTCCAGGTACTTCAATAAGGCATTCAAGGGATTAAGAAATAATCAGTTGTACAATACATATACAGCAATGAGCAATATGTGGAGATCACTTCTTTCAAAACCCTCCTCCCCCTTAGCCTGGACTTTGGAGAAAGTGTAACATAGATCAATGTTAAAATGAAGCAGATTGACTTTAAACAAAACCTACAAGATCATTATCATTTTTAAAAATTAATACAAGGTCAGCCTGAACACAAAGATGTTTTTTCATGCAACATACCTGAATCTGAATTCCTCCAATACTCACATAAAATGTACTGTCAATGTCAATGGCTTCTAAGCTTACAGAACAATGGCACATCTTATATTTTTCACTCCCCCCCAAAGTAAACAGCATAAAAAGTTTTTGCAAGAGTCCATACAGTTGGAGCTACACACACAAGAGAGCAACACATTTTGACTTTGTATAACTATTCTTTACCAGTTCTATCAGACACACCCACCTAGAGCGCTCATATGACCTTAGCAGTTGCGAGCGCCGTAAAACCCTATACTACTACTACATTCACCAAAGCATGACATATAAGTGTAAAAAGATATGGTTCCTTAGGGAATAACAGAGTCGGTAGCATAAACACTTAGCATAAAGAGAAACAAAAGAAAAAAAAAAAGCTGCCCATGTTTCAAGGTTCTTTAGGCAAACAGCTAAAAAGGAGCTGCTGCCCTCGTTTTCCCTGAATTTTCTGTGGCAATTCCTTGCTGAGCTGAGGTCACTAATGTCAAGACAACTCAACTTAACCCAAAGAGAATTGCAGTTGGTTTTTAAAAGACAAACACGCAAACATAATCTGCCTCCACACAAATATCTATCATACTTACTCAAAATGTAGTTGAACAGACTGCAGTAATTGTAGTATGAGTCAAAGCGCTGATCCAAGGATGGTCCCGACTGAAATCACATGGAAAAAGGAACTAAGTATGCATTATAAACTTTCGAAATCTCAATATATAAAATCATAAAACATGCACATGTTGCGATCTAATTAAAACAACTAAAAGAACCAAACTGATAGGCAAAAATGAAATAAGAATTTCCCCAACATAATCATTTCCAATCTTTGCAACCAAATGATCATTCTTTTTGTCAACTGACCAAGATATCAACCAAATAAGAAAATTTATCTAAAAAATTATAGCAGTACAGAGGAATCAGAAATCATATTCTTTTATGTCAGGAAGTGAAAGACAGACTTCTGGACTTACGGACACTCTTGCGTACACATGGCGAAAGAAGAGCTCATTGTACAAGATCAAGAACCTCTCCTCTGAAAAAAAAAAATATGAGATATATGACATGACATGTAACATTGAACATTTAACTATTTAGCACTTTCAACAATATAAGTTAAATGTGAGATATAAATATACACTTACTAATAATAAGTCTCAACACACACTTGAACAGATCTGACATGTTCTCACTGTACAAACAAAAGCCAAACAGAAAAATTGCAATCGGATTATTGCATTAACCCTCCAAGTGCTGGTCAGTATGCACAAGCCTGGTATAATGCAACACATATCACATAGCTCAACTGTTTATACTATCTACAGGAAGGTTATGCGGCATTGATGTTGGTCCTTAATTCCATTCATTCTAGTTTAGAGTGAGCACCCACAACTTTTTTTTTTTGCTTGGTGTTGAAGTAAAGAGACAAATTTTGGCAAAATTTTCGCATCACAATGAAACATAATACATGATAATAGAGTGGTTCAATCAGATTCTAATGAGGAATCCATATGACTGATACTGGATTTTTCACACCACTGACTTTGAGTAGCTAGTGAAAGAGCAACAAGGCATGTGTCGAGACAAAAAAATTCATGCTTTATCTTTAAAGATAAACCGAGAAAATGAAACTACTGAAACTTTAATAAAATTAACAAGACTATCAGCATTAAAATTGAACAAAATTTTGTGATAAGATAGAGGGTACATACCATTGCCTACAATAGGAGCAATGACCTTTGCTGATGGCCATGCACTGGTTTTGAAAAATCTGTCGGTCAGCTTATTGAACCTGAAATTTAAAAAAGAAGGCAAATATTTTTATTCAGTAAAAGAAATATACAAAATGTGGCAAATTCCAGGAAAGCAACCCTATAAATATTCAAACTGAAAATTTGTTTAAAGATCTGTAATTCATCTTGTGAAGAATCTTGCTCAGCTACTTCCAAATTTTGGTAAATACTGCGAATAACCTTCAAATAATACCAGCCGTTAAAAAAAATAAAGAGTATTTTAAAACTCACAAAATCTGCCATGCAACTGTCACTATTATTTTAGGAATAACTTGCAATAGGATCAAAAGAAAAATGCGGGGGGGGGGGGGGGGCGGCCCCCCCCCCCCCCCCCCCCCCCCCTCAAGCAATTTCTTTAACTTCCTTCACTGGAAAACCAATAATCATCGGAACTTATTCCCCTTCTCAGATTTGGTATTCAAATCGAAAACTTTATGAATTTTCCCAGCGCGCATTCTCAGGGCATTCACAGATTTCCTCAAATTCCTGGGTCTGCGATTTTATTCAAATTCCCGGGGCCTGGCAGTCACCCTGATTATCCCACTCTATCACTTACCCATTCTCATAATTGTTCTGGATTTCCACCAAGTTCTGTTCCTTGATGACTTGTTGAAAATGCAGGAGGAAATTCTTTATGACCTCTGGCACGATGTAGCTTTGTGAAGCATAGTGCCGTTCATATTCCATATCCTGGCGAGGATCGCCTGCACACAAAATAAAAACAGACAATAAATTAAAGAATCTTTTATTTCGTATCAGTATCCGTACAGCATTATCACCAATGCTAATACAGGTCCTGTATACTGTATAATCACTGATTTTTACTTCAGCTCTGCAATACCATCAATCATAAAAAACAACACTTGAAGCTAAGTGTACAACTTATACTTGAAAACAGGATAAAATAGTTACATGATTTGAACAAAACTTCCACCTCTCTCTAATTCCACTATTTGCCAGAAAAATCACTCTAAGTGACATCCACTTACTGTCCTTATACAACAGGAGTGAAAAGGAAACTGGAAGTGTGGAAGTGTGCTTGTAACTTCAATGGAATTTGTGCCAAGAAACAATCCAGTTATAAAAATTCAAAATAAACACTGCACATAGAAGATTCTCTCAATGAAAAAGACCTGGTTTGAAGCATCTTACCTGTATGAGACATGTCGTAGTCCCCATATTGATAATACCCATACTGGAGAAAAAAAGAAGAAAAATCACACTTAAAACAATTAAAAGGTAGAGAAAAAACTGCTCATTTAAAAAGCCTTCCTAGCATTTGTTGCTGTTACTGATCCAGAAATTGTTGAGATTATATCCCCCTTTATCGGGATGATAAGTAGTAAAAAATAATATGCATGTATGTATGACGTCTTTCGGGTATCATTCTGTTCCTTCCTGACATTTCTCGATTGTTTATAAAATATGATACATCTTTACAGGAACACTGCTTCTGTACATTACACTATATTATACTAGAGGTACTTAACTAAAAGGTCAAAACCCACAAATTTCTGGATCGATAACAGCAGCAAAGCTGTTGGTAAAACTATTTTCTTTATTCATTGACATACTTGAAATGTTAAAAAAGTTCTGGGTCCAACATTAATGTAATTTGTTTTCTTCTTCATATCTTCTATGCCCCCCCCCCCTCCACACACACAACAACTATTGTCGCTAGCATAATCAAAACATATTTATATGTGTGTGTACCAAGATTCTTTGGGCAACTGCTAAAAAATTTAATAAACAACTGCCCTCGTTTCCCCTGAAATAGTATGGCAATTCCAGCAAATGAAGAAACAAGAAGTGCATCTCCTCACAACAACAGAAATTGCAAACAGGTCATGGAATCTTAACAGATTACCTAATATCAACAAAAAACGATCCGTTTTCTCTCTTTAACAGGTCAATTAAGGTCATTTTGATCAGTCGTGATATGATCTGTTTCTACCTCTTCTCTGAAGCCAGTCTGTCAAACAAGTTAATTGAGGTCCTACCTCTTAAGTGAATCTTTTAACACACTTTACTTCTAATTAAGCCAAAGTCATAGTTTTTCACGTGAAACTTATTACCTTCAGTAAACACAGACTACATTATTCATTACAGTTACACTGTCCGTCAATGTCTGACGATGACCAACGCATCTCCAGTGAGGAACATAGGCTATAATATCGAGAGAGAATAGAGATTTGTTTCAGCTGCTATGGCACAAGATTAATTTTGGCAGAGAATAGTTTGCCAAACATTGAAAAATAAGTTTCATTTCCTCTTATCATGGAAGTGCACAATTCGCAGGTTACTTGGCTTTGACTTTTGATGATAGAACCTGATAGCATTTCTAATTTGTGAAGCTTCAAAGGTTTGAAGTCCTCTGTGATTGCTGCTCTCCAACTGACTCTGTCAGGAGCTAGGCTCTTCCATATCAAGGGAGTGTAGAAGTTCATAAGTTGAAGACTTTCTCAGGCAACTCTACCAAGGGTGTCTATGTTTTTGTATATTTGAAGTGAATATTTCTCCGAACGCTCTGGATAATAAACTTGAACTCTATTGTCCGAACGGTTTCCGTCCTCAAGCTTTGTCGGTTATTTGCGAGAGTTCGGCGTCATCTTTCATTCTGCCATTCTGCAAGGACTGGGAAGAAGCATTTTTTGCATCAAATTCAATTTCTAGAGCAAGAAATTTTTAGCCTAGTTGTCTGAATATTCAGATACTTCAATTGTAGTTGGGGCAACGTTCCCGGACAATACATTGTACTTCATTTGAAAATGCCTTCAAAAGGTACTGCGAGAAAACAAGACTGCGCGACTTTGACAGTAACCTATTTTTTTGCATAGTCATCCCTAAAGCAAAAACTAAATCACAAAAAGTCCCTCCACCGAGTGACGCGGTGGCAATTGACAAAAATTGACGGTCGTGTCAATTGCCACCGAGTGAAGCAGTGTCAAGTCTGAAAACAACACTATCTTTAGCTTTCTATTCGTAATGTGTTTCTAATGGGTCAATTTGTTCTCTACTAGGGATGTGATTTCATTGGACGAGCATCTAGTCTAGATCTAGAGCTACGGTACCAACTTGGCGTGTTTTCAATGAGAGACGTAGACATAGATCTAGGCTACCCTTAGCCTACACTTCGGTGTAGAACCAACACAGGCAATTCTAGAAGTAAAAGGTCACAAACGCACACAAACTCTTGTCAAGCAGAAATTCATTTTATATCGGAAACATAAATCCGGGGGATGAGGGTCAGGAAAAGACACACACACACACACACAGAGGGACAGAGAGGCGAACGCACAACACCGAGCACTCGAGCACAAAGGGCCAGATCTACTCACCAACGCAAAAGAGCTCCAATTTACTCAGTGGCAATTGACGCTGCTGTCCATTTTTGTCAATTGCCACAGCGTCACTCGGTGGCAATTGACACTCCCCCCTGAAATCCCCTACTCTTGATTGGGAAGATTGAAGAATACCGGACCACTCGTACATTATTGCGCGAGAAAGTGGGGTTGGTGGGGCGGGTGGTTGGGGTGGAGGAGGGGGGAGGGGGGGGGTTCAGGGGGGTCTCCCCCCTGACAAAATTTTAATGAATAGATCTACCGGTCCGAGATTCTCCATTGAGAGATATTAAAAACGGGAAAATTATGAATTCCTAAGGTTGAGACATAGGCAAAGTCAGTCCGCTGGTCCGGTATTCTTCAATCTTACCAGAAAAGGAAATCAAACATTTTACAAAATCCGAGATCAGAGACTCTGAAAAAATACTACGCCCCCCCCCTCCAACACACCCATAAACCCCCCCCCTCTCTCTCTCTCTCTCTCTCTCTCTCTCTCTCTCTCTCTCTCTCTCTCTCTCTCCCTCTCCCTCTCTCTCTCTCTCTCTCTCTCTCTCGCTCTCGCTCTCTAACTCTCTCTGGGCCTCTCTCGTCCACACTCTCTCTTTTTCTCTATGTCTCGCACGCGGTATCTATCACTCTTTCACTCTCTCTCTCTTTCTCAGTGAGAAGGACTCTATAGCGCCAGCACGCCCCATCCCGGGGACAGAGGGAAACAGGATGAAAGAGAAAATCTTTTTTTAATCACGTGTTAACAGTAAGGGTGCGGTTTGGTAGACAAAATCCCGGGGGGGAGAGGAGAAAAAGGGTAAATATGAGGTGGAATGTTTGGGAAGTTCTAATTATATATGGGGGAGAGTGAACCGCGGATGGAGGATTATTTGCAAAAGTTTAAGAGCCACCGAGGAGGGACAGAGGGGGGTGAGGGGGCCCCCGGGACATATATGAGTAAGAGAGAGAAGGAGGTATAAAGTTTATATTTTTTGAAGAGACAGAGTAGAGAGGAGAAGAGAAGTAGATCGAGAGGCGCTCGGCAGGCCGTTAATGGTAATCCCTTTGAGTAAAATGGGTGGATGGTCTGTGATTGCTGGAGTGTAGACTAGACACTAGGGAAAGGATTTTCGTGTGCACCAGCGGAAAGGTGAGAGAGTGAAAGAGAGAGAACAAAACAAAATAGCGACCCGCGTAGTTCGGCTCGATTCGAAAAGTTAAATAGCCGTAGCATCTTTGTAGACAACCAAATTAATTTACTTTTGTGTTTTAACATCATTTTTTAACTTTGTTTTGGTCAATTTGATCGTCCACACCGATAGACAGTATTCAGAAAGAAACAGAGAGAGAGAGAAGAGGAGAGGAGTAGATCTTGCGAGAACTTCCGGGCGGGTGAGAATAGCCACTTTCTTTTCTATAAATAGATTTAGCAGCATAGCCTGGATCCGTCAGTGACAACTCAGAGGCATATGGAACAAGGAGGATCGAACAGAATTTTTCAATAAAACCATAGGCATATCCCCCAACCCAAGGTCCAACTTCATCTCTATTATCACTACTTTTCAAAGATAACTAAAACCAAAACGGAAATGTTGAACGATCTTTTCAACTCACTCCCTTTCCTACGACGGCGTTTCACTCCCATTTCCAATTCCTATTATCGATAGGGCACATGATGATACCATATCGCGTTATGAGTTCTGACATCGTCTTTCCACATTCATACGACAACCATTTAAACACAATGTTATAACATTACAAATCATTCCTTATGCTGCTTCTTGGGAGCAGTAAGCTACTATTCCCCTTATTTACTTACATTATCTTCTGTTTCATTAGCCCACGTTCCAGCCATGTCGCCGATGGGTTGTGTGCAATGGGCAATAACTCTTTTCCCCTCTTTCATTGCAATGGAAACTTGTCAAGAAGGCGGTCGGAAATGCAGAACTGTAAATGGAGCGACGCCATTGCTAATAGCCTGAACAGTGCCCGATGAGCGAAACTGAATGAGAAAAGCGATGATTCATGCAGCCACTGAACATTAACCATGTTCGACTCAATTCGTCAAAAAATGTTGTTTCTAAAAAGATATCTTTTACCAGCCCCTTTTCTATACCCCTTACTCTTAAAAAAGAAATCTCCATTGAAGATTTTATTCATTTATAATAATGTAAGTACATACATCGATTCGGGTAAAAAAAAAAGCAAAAATTGCAAGGTATATAGGCCTATATAATTAATGTATTGTTAACATTGTCCAGTAGAATCTGTATGGAATTTCAAACGATTTTTGTTTCTTAATTATTTTTTTTCAAATCAAGCGTAGGCCTAAAGTAAAGAATAACCTTCCAATAGATCTATTTAAAAACTCACTATAATCCACATGCTGTCTTTACAAACACTAACACTAGGAGAAACCTTCCTTTTAATTAAATGTCCTATTTGATGTTCTCATTTGTCTGACTTGTGCTCCCAAAATGTGTATAATGTATCACTATACGTATACAGCCTACATTTATGAATGTACCATGTAATTGCTTCTGCATTAAATTCGTTCAGAAACGACAAATGTCGCGGGTGGTTGGAGAGCGCCTACGTCTTACTGTTACTTTCCCTCTGTTGTTTCTGTCTGTCTGGACGTCGATCTTACCTTTTCTCAGCACTAAATGACCAGTATTGTGTCGATGTGTTATGTGTTCTCTTTACTCAAACAAAACAAACAGACAAACTAACACATCGCCTATCGCTACTCTTCGAATAGTAATTGTTAAATGCCCATTTTGAATTAATTTTGCCGGTACTCTGTTTCTCTGGTACTAAAATCAGAAAGCTGTCACAGAAGCTTCCATATTGTGACCTGCATTTAATTTCTGTTTCGTAGGACGTTTTGGGAAAAAATCTCCTAAGACTTTTGCCTAAACCTTTGCCTACCTAATATACACTGTCACATTTTTAAGTATACACTGTGTTAAAATGAAAATAGCTAGTTTAACAAAGAGGCGATATTTTTTAAAATTTCGGGAATATGAATTCAATCAATTTTAAAAAACGAAAACAACAACAACAATGTGGAATGTTAACATAACAGGTTTATTCACGACTTACAAGAGTGTGGGGGGTGGTCTACAAAAGTAACACTATCAGTAGCATTGATGACGGCCTGACATGAACCAATCAATCGCTGCACTGCCTGTTGAGGGATGTTATTCCACTCACTTCATGCAATGCTCTCTCAAGTTGAGGAAGTGTCTGAGGCTGGTGTTGTCACATATTGTTCAACTCATCTCTGGTTTGTCTTGCCGTTTTGAAACGATTGCGTAGATGCGACAGGCGTATAAAAAGATCCTCTCTTGGAGTAGTTTTTCTTCTTCCACGTTGGCGGTGTCGATCCTTTTCTGATTTTGTTGTTTTCTTACGATCCATTGTTGTGTACACAGTTCTTCGTGTTACATTAAAATGTCTCGCAACAGTGGATACTGAGGCACCCCTGCGGATCATTCCAACAAATTGATTTCGCACATTTTCTCTCTGGGCATGGCATCATAAAATGTAGACAAAGCAAGTTTTATCCCTGGCGAATTGTTACAAAAAAATGACAAAGCTTTGACGAGTGCTTTTTTTTTAAACAAACCGTTGGCGCATCATGAGTTATTGTTTAAAAAACACAAAACATGTAACACGCATGCAGTTACAAAACCCCTTGCGCGTTCAGAAATCTGAAAACAGCTCACCAGCGACAGGTATATCACGTATAATTAGAGTGTAAATTAGAAAGTCACTGGTTTCATAGGTTTTGTTTAATTGAGCTTCAAAATGTGTATACTTAAAAATGTGACATAGTATAATATAATACACCGATCCAGCGGCACTTGTTCATTCGAACAACTTCCTGTTTACGGTACCAATGAAACTGTGGCATTTATTTATGTGGAATATCTTTGGTTGTGTGTGACGGAAGCATCGCGCCGGCAAATATAGGGAATCATCAACAAGGCCTATACTACTGTTACATGTATTATATTAGCCTATAGATCTATCCCTTTACATACACAAACTCTGAGGATAGACAAGGCCTAACTGAAAAACTCAAGGGGCGTTGCTTCGTTACTCAGTTTAGATACGCGCTCTCGCGTGCACTCACGCGCACGTACACAAACAGAAAACACAGACAAGCTCACACACAAGAACTGAATACACTAAATTCACATTGACGTTTCTCAGTAACCCCATACACTGGCCGACCAGTCACCATCCAATAGTTTTATCTTTTTCGCGCAAACAAAAAATTAAATTTAAATCCTAACAAGGGAAGAAAGCACACACATCTATATGAATCGCTTGTGAATCTCAAGACATGAAACATATATTTCCTTTCTTCCTACAAACGACTCCACATTTTCTCACAGAATTCCCCCAAGAATCTCAAAACCACCGCATCACTTTCCTCACATTGTTGATTTCAAATATAAGAGAAGCTGTAATGTACTTAATCTGTAATAATTAGCCTACTGTGTTTTCCTTTCTTGACAAGAGGAAGTTAAGTCGTCTTTTGATTTGTGTTGTTTTACTATTCGTGTCGTCTCTTTTGAATAAAATAAATTCTCTCTCTCTCTCTCTCTCTCTCTCTCTCTCTCTCTCTCCCTCTCTTCCTCGCTCGCTCTCTCTTGCTTGCTCGCTCTGTCTGTCTGTCTGTCTGTCTGTCTGTCTGTCTGTCTGTCTGTCTGTCTGTCTGTCTGTCAGTCAGCCTGTCTGTCTGTCTGTCTGTCTGTCTGTCTGTCTATCTGTCTGTCTGTCTGTCTGTCTCCCCCTCTCTCTCACCGCCCCCCCCCCCCAAACATACACAATCATACGTACACAAAGACGCACATTATTATATAAAATATAATTAATATGCCTATAGGCCCAGATGGTGCAGTTGGCCACTAACATTATCCAACACATGATAGTTGTTCAAAAACAGGAAGTGGACGAATATTTTCCCCCTTTTCAAAGGAGTGTTGACGAGAGGGAGAGGTAGAGAGAGAGGGGAGGGGAGAGAGAGAGAGAGAGAGAGAGAGAGAGAGAGAGAGAGAGAGAGAGAGAGAATTTTTTTCAAAGGTGCAGTTCACCGTTTACCACCGCATTCTTGACACATAAAAACAACAACTGGAATAACATGTCAACACTATTGATACTTTAACTTCTACAACATGAGCAGGAAACCCAGCTTTGGGTCACCTTTAACTGAAGCGCTGACTGCTGTGTGCACAGCTCGATCTAAACGATTTTCTTCTGCTTTTTATAATAATAATACATGTACTTATAATAACAATACTAATAATAATACATGTAATAATAATAATAAAAAATTGCATTTACATAGCGCATTTCCACCAAGGCGGCTATACAGTCCTTGATTTCCACAAAGAATTGCTCAATGCGCAGTTCAATAATACTAAAAACATATTATTATTATGCAGCTCGCAGCTCCTATAGTAATCCTCTTTCTCTCTCTCTCTCCCTCAGTCTCTGTCTCTCTGCCCCCCCCTCTCTCCCTCTCTCTATTTGGGGTGCCCATATTCGCATCGTCGGTTCGGCTATGTAGGTAGGCGGTGGCGGTGGCGGTGGCGGTGCTAGCCAGATTGAGGGCGCAAAGCACTACACTGAGTGGCACAAACCGATGGCACTGAGTGGCACAAACCGATGGCACTGAGTGGCACAAACCGATGGCACTGAGTGGCACAAACCGATGGCACTGAGTGGCACAAACCGATGGCACAAACCGATCACCCGACTGGCAGCCGCGAATCGGGCGATTGGTTGGAGATCGGAGCTTTTCCAGTGATTGGACATAGCTTCTCTCAGCAGATCTTTCTTGTTTAGTTTTAGTGAGTGTTTTACGGCACTTGCAACAAAATAAGGTCACATTATAAATACGTGCTGAAGATTAGAGGGGTTACATGAGAGTAACAAACACAAAAAAGAAGGAGGGGAGATAAAGACGATAGATGTTTGATAGGAAAGAAGAAGCAAACCACACCAGAGCACCCGCCAACCACTCATCCAGACCTTTCTGCAAACACTCAATCTGCCTGCCTGAGTCGTTTCGGTTAAAATAAGCTGTTTCTCCTGTTTCTTCAGTTATAGTGGTAATTATTTTATACGATTTAATTTGGTCTAATTTGGATATGTACAAAGATTAGTGATTACATCCTGAAATGAACCTGTGGTTTTCATGGAAGGCCTACTGACAATTCTCATTACTTTTAAGTGTTGACAGAAATTCTCTTTAACTTTTAAACTTTTAAAACCCAGCTGTTTTACTCAGAGCACATCAACTGATCATGGATGTTCGCTTGTAAAATGTTAAAATAAAGGATATGCTTCAAGCCAAAGCAAAAAGTCGTTGCATACAACCTGTATAATACATACCATACATTCAAAAGAAATCAAATGAATTCCTTAAAAAAAACCCTTTATTTTCAAAAAGTCATGAGCTCAAGGAATTGACAAAATAAAGAAATTATATTATTGGACCGAATATCAATCTATGAGGAAATGAGACATAAATACACTTACACGCACTCTACTTTTCCCCCATACATAACGTAACATGCAAAAAAGAATTATTTCAGAGAGTCGATTTGCAAGGTGTTCTGGAGGCTTGCATCAAAACTTTTTTTTTTTCCACTAAGTATTTTACGGCACCTGCAACACTATATGGTCATTAAGAGCTGAAGATTAGAGGTGTTACAAGAGAGTAACAAACACAAAAAAGAAGGAGGGGAGATAAAGACGATAGATGTTCGATAGGAAAGAAGAAGCAAACCACACCAGAGCACCCGCCAACCACCCACCATCAAAACTTTTGCCTCCTAATTATGTCATTGTATTTCACCACTCATAGTACAGCGAACACATGAACTATATATA